TCCAGGTCGCTGCGCCGCGAGAAGAACGCCGCCCCCGCCACGCCCACGCCCGTGGAGGCCAGCGCGAGGCTGAACGGCTGCGCGAGCTCGGCGAACTTCGCCTCGGGGCCCGGCTTGGGCACAAGCTCCGCCAAGAAGGGCACGGCCGCGACGGCCTCGAGGGGGGGAACGATACTCACGGCAAAGACGTACGCTGAGAAACCTCGCTATCAGAGTTCTTGGGGCACGTCCTCTTCGTAAGTGTTTGAGGACCCTGACGTGCCCCAGAACTTCTGCGGGTCCCTGTAGGCATCGGGAGACCAGAACTTCCCGCTGGGCACATGCTGGTAAGCCGTTTTCTTTTTTCGCGTGCCCACAGTGGGGGGGGGGAACCAGCTCGCGGTGCAAAACACCAGCTTGGAATCGGCGATGCGTCCTCGTCAGATCGGCGATAGGCCCTCGCTAGCGAAATCGCAGGGCCCTCGGCGGGGTGGGCTGTCGGGCCCCTATTGACGATATGTAGGCGATTGGGGGTCGATGCGTGGCCCCCCCTGAGCAGATCCCCTCTCCCAAACGTTGCCCTTGAGACCTTCAGCGCCCCCAGGAAGGACAAGAAGGCGACGCCCCCCACGCCCAGGATCATTGCCAGCAGCAGCGGCCCGAAACCGCCGGCGGCCTCCTTGCCAACTGGCACGAAGTAAGGCTCGGTGATCTCCAGGAACCTTAGCTGCCCCGATACGCAACACGCAACACGTATCGTACACATACGGAGCTCAACGCGTGGGCTGAAAACGTAGGTTCGACGCGATACATTCGCCAACACGTGGCCCAGTACGTGGAGACAACACGCAACGTATTCACACGGACGTCTTGAACACGCCTCGGGTTGCGTTTCAGCAAAAAAACGCATCGAGTCAACTAAGCCGGGAACCGCGCCCCCAGGTCCCCGTCAAACGTGAACTTGGGAGTGTCGCCGCCGCCGCCACCGCTCTCCTCTCGGGGAGCGCCACCTGGCCACCGACCCTGGCGGGGAGCCTGGCGGCGTGCACAAGGGGGGGGGCGCGAGGGGCGGGGGGCCTTCCAAGAACCAAAAAGGCCACGCAGCAACCTTCTCAGAAGCCTCCAGGCCCTTCCAAGAAAAACGCCCGCGTTTCAAGAAGCCCCCCCCCCAGGCTTCTTGGCAAGCGGCCCCGGTCGCGCATCCCCCCCCGTGCGCGCGCCGCCAGTCATGATGGGTCTGGTTTCCACAACCACCACCACCACCATAAGTTGGCGGGGGGAAGGAGGTGGAAAATGAGGAAGAAGAGGAGGAGGAGGACCCCCTCCCCCTCCTACTTGTAGTGGTGGCGGTGGAAAACCAGCCCAGCAAGGCAGCCAGGATCGGCCAAGGCGCCAGCCCGACGCCCCCAGAGCCTTGCCGCCCGCCACGGCGCGCAGCGGCGCCGCCCCGCGTGCCCCGCCGCTTCCGCCGAGCGCGGGCACGCGCCGCCGCACCGGGCGGCGCGCGCCGGGTGCCCCGGCGTGCGCCCGCCGCGGGCCTCTGGGCCTCCGCCCCGCGGCCAGCGCCGCCGCGGCAGCCGCGGCCCCCGCCGCCGCCGGCGCGGCCGACGCGCTCCAGCGGGGCAGGGCGGAGCCTTCTGGGGCCGACGAGCCCTGCACACAGCCACCGCCGCTGGCCACATGCCCGCCCTGGGGCCCAGGCTCGGCCGAAACGCCCAGGAAACGCAGCGGGGGCGAAGAAGAAGAAGAAGAGAAGAGAAGAGAAGAAAAGAGAAGAGAAGAGAGGAGAGGAGAGAAGGGAGGGAGGGAGGGGGGGAGGCGTGGCCACGAGTCCTGGGCCCGGGAGGAGGGGCGCTGGCCGGACGGCAGCGGAGGTACACAGATCTCGTCGCCCGCCAGCGGCGCTGCGGCCGCGGCCTGCGGGGCCCACGCACCCCGCGCTGCCAGCGGTAGCCCGCGAGGGCGCTTGGGCCCTGCCAGCCGATGCAGGCCCGGTGGCAGCGGGGGAGAGGCCCATGGCGGCGGAGGTGGCCTCGAGCGGGGCGGCCTCGAGCCGGCGACTGCAAGCAGAGTCCTGCCGCAGAGAGCCTTTCCCCTGCCCGACGGGCCAAACACGTGCTAGAGTCTTGGGTTGCTGTTGTGTTGGCTGCATATTTGTGCATATATATATATATATAGGTACAGTTATCCGTCTCTGGATGTTTCTCTCTCTCTCTCTCTGTCTCTCTGTCTCTCATTCTCTCTCTCTCTGTTTGTTTGGTTTTGTTTGTTAAGTTTCTCTCTCTCTCTCTATCTTGCGTGTTTTGGTGTATTTATCTCTCTCTTTCCCTTTCTCATTAAGTTGTACTCATGTATGTATACACACAACGGGGGGACGGATTGAACGGGGGGGGTATATCCAAATTCTGTCTAGAAAAAAGAGCCCATGTGGCGGAATATGTGGAGCAACCTGCGCGGCACAGGCCTTCAGCACCTTACTGCTCCTTCTGGCACGTATCAATACAAGTAAACTGTGCTCTCAGGCTCCTGGGGCACGAACAACTGCTAGTGATTTACGCCTCGGAACTCTTGGAGACGTAAAAAAAATGCTAGGCCCTTCCACTCCCATGGGAGCTTCAATTCGGCATAGCCCTCACACACCTCGTGGACCATGAGCGCTCAGCTGGTCCTCTTCCGTGCCCCATGGACTTCTAGCGCCGATCCGCTGGTCCCCATACGGCTGAAGGGGGCTTCGATTCAGCAACCCCCCCACGCACTTCGTGCCTCGTGGACTCCCAGGGTCACTCAGCTGGCCCCTCAGACAGTTTAGGGAAGCTTCGATTTGGCACACCCCTCACGCACGTCGTGGCCCATGGACCCCCGAAGGCCGCCTGCTGGCTCCCAAGACCGCCTGCCCCCGAAAGGAACGCCAATATGATCCGTAGAATCATGGCAACGAGTGGCACCGTCCCTTGTCGAAGCCACACACAATCTGCGTGTGAGTCTCCCCTGGGGGGGCCGCGGGCCCCGGTCGTGTTCAGCCCCGAGGGTAGATGATGAACGGATGGTGAAGTGGAAGATGGTGAGATGCATGCGCAAATGCATGCTTGGAGCGGCTCCAAACATTCTGGCCGGCGATTCTCCTGGAACGCTCCAGAATACAAGCGATCCGCGCTCTCGCGCTCGTCGGCTGCCGCCGTCGTCGCAGCCGCGGCGGCGTCATTGCAGGCCTGCCGCCGGGCGCCCGCCTGCCCAGCAGCGTGGGCAGCTCCGTGCCGGGCAGCCCCGCGCCCAGGCGGGCTCCTCCGCCGCCGCGGGGGCTCCTCTGGCGGCGGCGATGCGCGGCGGCGGCGATGGGCGGCGGCGGCGGGCGGCGGGTGGCGGCGAGGGCGGCGGCGACGGAGAGCGCGGCGGCAACGAGGGCGGCGGCGGGGGCCCGAGCTCGCCCGCGACCTGCCCGACCTCAGCGCTGCCGCGCCGCGCGGGGGGCGGATACAGATCAACGCCGCGCTCTCCGCCCGCCGCCCCCCCAGAGGGGCAGCTCTCCGACCTGGGAGCGCGGAGCGCAAACAGCGCGGTGATCTTCGCGACCCTGCGGGCGACCTGCGCGGCGGAGCCGACGGCGGCAGGGACGGCGACGTCGACGAAGCGCCTCTGCACGGAGCTGACGGCACAGGTGGGGCATTCGTGGAGGGCTGTGGGGCCACAACCCCCTGCCCTTCCACCTCCGCGTCCTCTTCCTCCTTCCCGTCGCCCTCCTGTACCTCCTCCTCCTCCTCCTCCTCCTCCATTGCCTCCCCGCCTTCCCTCCTAAATCGACTGTCTTCCCTGTATGGACCGACCGTCCTGGCATTCCTATAGGTCAACACGAGATTTTCATAGAACAAGAGAGTGCCCCAAAAACAAAAGCGATGTTCTTAGAACATACAGCCGGTGTATTGAGTCGAGACGCTCTCAGGCAGGAGCGTCCCCAAAAAAGGTTCCTAGAACATCCTGTCGTGCGCCGGTAGGCAAGCTGGGACGCCTCGCCACTGCTTCTGGCTCGTGCCGCCAGTCCGCTCGGCCCACCCTCCCATCTTCCGCGCTCCCTCCGCCGCCTCCTCCGACGGGCTCCTCCTCGGGCGCCCAGCACCCGCCTCCTGCCTCCTGCAGCCGGCGCTCCGGCTCATGATGGCGAGCTGTTGCGGCGGCGGTGGCGGTGGTGGCGGTGGCGAGGACAACGACGCAACGGTGGCGACGGCGACTACGGCAAGGACGGTGACGGGGACGGCGTTGACGAATACGACGACGATGATGACGATGACGACAGCGATGGCGAAAATGGCGACGGCGACACCGGCGGCGATAGTAACCATGACGACGCTGACGACGGTGATGCCGATATGGCCATGGTGCGACGAAGATGGCGATGGTGACGATGATGTTGTCCCTCCCTCTTTGCCGTCCTCCCTCCCACTACCACCTGTCCAGCGCACAAAGAGAGAGAGACAGGAAAGGGAGGGGATTTTCCTTCGGGTCATCGTGCAGTCATCCTGCCAACACCGAAGGCTCGGCAAAGTGCCCGCTGAAGACGTATCGCATCTGAGGCGTCTGACCTGACCCGCGACGCAAGCCTTTCCTGCAGGTAGACCCGCACCAACTTCGGTGACCGCATATCCATCTGCCATCACCGCATCCTTACCCCGGGACCGATCAGTAGCTACGATGGGGAACGATGGGAGGCAGGAAATCAATCAAGGTGCGAGACAATACCTGGTCAACATTGCTGCTTGTGGTCTTGTCGCCAGCCCGCTATGCCCATGCAGCTGTCTTCGTGCGATCCGAGGACCGCCGATTCACCAAATATTATCGTGAGGTGAACAAGACTTTGTGCCGCCTAGCCTCCTTTTAAAATCACTGCGGCATATGGCGATACCCAAATGCGATCCAGTGTCGAGGTTCCCCTTCTTCATGGTAATGAGTTCACCCCCCTCCCCCCCTCCCCTTCCTCCTACACCCAACCCCAGCCCCCGACACACCCCACCCCACCCCACCGAAGGGTCCCCCCCTTCTGTGGTGGTGCTGGGTGGGCTCGAGTGCTTGCGGGCGTGCGCGCTTTCGTGCATGTGCTGTGCCGATAGCATGGCTGGGCTTGTCCCCAATGCTAGCAAACTCTTGTAGAGGTTCGGCTGTCATTGTCCACGCTCCCACGTTCTACATCGGGTACACGTGAACAGGGGCTACATGTGCACATGGGTTACATGAACACAGCACTTGGCTGAGCCCTCGGACAACATCATCCCAGTGCGACCCTACCTAGGAGTTGGAGCCTCTAGGAAAGCAAAATTAGTAGGAGCGGTAAACGCAGTCCTCCTTCTTCTCCTCATCGCCGTAGTTGTAGCAATAGCGGTAGTAGTAGTAGTAGTAGTAGTAGTAGTAGTCGTCGTAGTAGTCGTAGTCGTCGTAGTAGTAGTAGTAGTAGTAGTAGTAGTAGTAGTAGTAGTAGTAGTAGTAGTAGTAGTAGAAGTAGTAGTAGTAGTAGTAGTAGTGGTAGTAATAGTAGTAGTAGTAGTAGTCGTAGTAGTAGTCGTAGTAGTAGTAGTCGTAGTCGTAGTAGTAGTAGTAGTAGTAGTAGTAGTAGTAGTAGTAGTAGTAGTAGTAGTAGTAGTAGTAGTGGTAGTAGTAGTAGTAGCAGCAGCAGTAGTAGTAGTAGTAGTAGTAGTAGTAGCGCCAGAACAGCCAACGACACGCCGTAAGTGAAGCAGCAACAATAGTGGATGCTGTGCTGCGCTATGCTATGCTATGCTATGCTCTGCGATGCTATGCTATACTATGCTATGCTATGCTGCGCAATGCTATGCTGGGCTAGGCTAGGTCAGGCTATGCTATGCTATGCTATGCTGCGCTATGCTATGCTGCGCTATGCTATGCTATGCTATGCTATGCTATGATTGTGCTTTGCCTTCGCGTTTGCCTTCACTTTTCCCTTTGCTGTTGCTGTTGCTTGGCACCCAGGGAGCGCAACTGGGGGAACCGCGCATTCGCTTTTACCTTTGCTGTTGCTTTTGCTTGGGTCCCAGGGGACCGTGGGAACCGCCCGGGGCGATTTCCACTGCCCGGCCCCTTTAAGCAAAGCGAGTAAGAACCCTTCTAGGCAGAGCCTAGGTAGGGAAAACACACATCATCGTACATATCGTCAGCCATGTTAGTAAGGCAATGCGCCGCCCCCCTTTGGGGCAAAAAGGCTGCGTGGCGCAGGTTGTCCTGTTCCCTGCGCTAGTTCTAATTCCAAGTTCCAGTTCCAGGTCTAGAACTTCTCGTTTCGCATTCCACTGACGTAGGGAAATCCGCCGATCCGGTGTGTGAGTTTCAAAGACCCTCAGATATAGCCTGAACCTCAGTCCTTGAGCTTCAGCTCTGCTGGGGGGGTGGGTGCCGGGGTGGCTCTGCCGGGGCAGGGGGGGGGTTGGTGGCAAAATCGGAACTCTAGCTCACTCTGGGTCGGCCCCTCGCCCCGGAGAGCTCGAACGCGGGCTCATAAAAAACCCAGCGGCCGTCCAGACGGCCCCAGAGGGCCCTGAGTGGCCGAAACAATGCTCCAAGACACCCAATATGTTCCTCAGAGGGCTCCAGAAGCCTCCAACGTACCCTCCCGACACCTCCGAAGAGCGCCCAAAGACGGAAAATCTGCCCCATTCCCTTGGGAAAGCGTATTTTTGTTTGCATGTTCGCTTCTTCGGCCTTCGCAGTGTCCAACACGACCCAAGGGACCCCCAAAACCGGCCCAGAGGCTCTCAAGAGGGCCCCAAATCGGCCCAAGAAAGGCCCAAGACGGCCCGCGAGGCCCCCAAGACAGCCCAAGCGGGCCCCTGGACGGGCCCAAGAAGCGCCCAAGAGGGCTCCATGACGGCCCCAGAAGGGCCCAAGACGGCCTAAGAGGCGCCCAGGAGGCACCAAAATGGCCTTGGGAGTCCCCAAGAAACCCCGAAAGGCTCCAGGTGGCCCTCAAGAGGCTCCCAAGAGGCGCCCAAAAGCGCTCCCGAAGGCTTAAACATTCACACCCCCAGGAGGCCTCCAGGATGCCTCCTGCATGCCACCCAAGAAGCCCAAAAGGCGTCCAGGAGGCTCAACAATCACCTCCAAGACGCCCCCCCAGGAGGCCTCGAAGATGCGCCGTAGAGGCCCCTCAAGAAGCCCACGCAATGCCTCCAAGCTGTTTCTAAACCACTTACGTTTGAACAAGCGCGCTGGGGCGAAAGCGTCCTTCCGACAGCGGAATCGTCTCGGATCGGAGGCACTGGCAGGAGGCCTCTACAATAAATCCGCGCCGGGGGGAAGCTCGAAAAGAGGCTTCTGCGCAGGTACGCCCCTGATCGGGTTGCCAACGAATGAGATGCAGAAAACTGGACCGACAACCAAGACTCACTTCGCTTAGACATCATGCAATCACGCGAGCATGCACAACGATTTCCCCCTCTCCAAACATCACATGCTATGAATTCCGAGGGAGGGCCCTGGGAAACACCAAAAACAGCAGATTCACGCGTCCGAGGCCACAATCCCGCATTTATTACAACAAGCTCGCGCACCCAAAGCTACAATCCCTCGTAACTTCCACCAGAGTTGCACTCCACAAGCCGTAATCCATTGCAACGTACACCTGGTTCGCACTCCACAAGCAACAATCCCCTGCAGATCACTCCAATTTTGCGCTTACACCTGGCTCGCGCTCCCCAAGCCACAGTCTGTTGTAGATTACACCAGCATCAAGCTCCCCAAGCCACAGCCGCTTTAAATTACACCAGCTCCGCGCCCCCCAAGCCACAATCCACAATCCCTCGTAAATTACGCCTGCCTCGCGCTCCCCAAGCCACAGTCCCTCATACACTGCACCACACTCGCCGCCCTCCCCTAGCCACAGTCTATCGTAAATTGCGCCAGGCTCGCGCCCCCGAGGACAACCCCCAAGACACTACAACGGGTCCGCGCTCCCGAGGCCACAAGCCGTTGCAAGTGACGCCCGAATCGCTCGCGCTCCCCGGGCCACAGCCCCTAGTCGAGCAATACCCGGCCCGCGCTCCACAAAGCACGGCCGCCCACAACTTGCACCAGCCGCGCCCTCGACAGGCGGCACCCCCTGGCGAATGGCACCGGGCTCGCGCTCCCCAGGCCCCACGCAGCCCCCTGCTGGATTACGCCAGGCTCGCGCTCCCCCAAAGCACAATCCCCAGCAAGTCACACCGGATTCACGCTCCCGAGGCCACACACCTTCGTGACTGACTCGAAGCTGCGTCTTCGAAGCAACCACCCTCAGTACAGTACCGTGCCCTGACGCTCCCGAGGCAACGAACCCATTCCACGGAGGCTGCCCAATAGCGCCACCCCTACTCCAGAGCGGAAAACATGTTTTTCGGGGGGCTCTGTTCGGCCCCCAGCGGTTTCCTAAGAATTCGGCTTGAAGCTCGAGTCCACGAATCCTCTCAAGTCGCTAGGGGAGCGCGCTCCCCAAGCCTGGAAACCTGGTACGGTGCAGTGGAAGCGCGCCCCCGAAGCCCCCCCCATTCATCGTTACAGATGCGCGCAATCAGCCAGCCAGCAAAAGGCATACATCAAATGCAAGCTTACAGCTCAGATAGCCAGCCAATCAGCCAAGTTGCCAACCAGCCAAACGACAAGATAACCAACGAAGCTACCAACCAAGCGTGGCCATGCAAGCAATCGGAGGGGTTGGAAGGGGCCTGCGGCGGAGGGCGAAGCCCTTCAGAGAACAAGCCCTGGCACATTCCAGTGAACACCCAGAGAGAAAAAAACAGACGAAACGTACAACACAACAGCATGGCCTCCACGGGACATAACAACATACCAACGGGTATCAGCGGGTGGTCATACTGGTATCGCAAAGAACCTGAGGACATGGAAAAACCCTCAAACAATACCACGCCACATAAACTTGATTGAATCCTCGCGATACGGAAAGGCAACGTCACATGCATGGCAATGGGCCAACAAGCGTCGAACAGACTCCAAAAAATAAGTGCTTCCGTATCAAGGAGCAGGCATCACAACGACGTGCCACTCCGAGAGCCCACACAATGAAACAATACTTCGCCAAGCGAACTGGCAGCATTATGCGAACCGACCTGCAATACGCAAGCGCACGCCGCGAACCTTGGCCCTGGGCATGGGAGACAGCACGACATTGGGCGCGCGCCCCAGAGGATACCACTGAAGCCCAAGCACGCACCAACAAAGTGTAGATCTACGCCCTCCCAACGGGAGCTCTGCGAGGAGAGCAGCAGCAGCGAACGACGAAGAAGGGAGACAGGGCGGGAAGGGGCGAGGAGGGCACAAGCCCAGGACACGGACCAGCGCGTGCGGCCCGAGCAAGACGATCCAAGTATCGCGCCGAACCAAGAGCGAGCGGACAGGAATTTGGGTCCACGAAATGACATATATGTTACAGGAACTGAAAGCTGAGAGTGTGGGGAAAAGTCAGTGGCGTGGGGAACATGCAGAGACCCCAGCGGAAAATACAAGGACACAAACAACAACTCACACATTCAAACACTAAGCCGTAAGCCATGCATGGTTCGTAGAGGTTTCTGACAGGTGCCACCCTGTGCTAGGAATTGCATTCTGCGGTGCAGAATGTGCGATCGAAGTTCCAGACGGGGAGCGTGCTTCTCTCCGTTACGCCGCCCCCAGGAGCTAACAAACATACAACATGGCATCACGGTGCATAATGATCCCACTCCCTCCTCATGAAAGGCGGAGAACCCAGACATCCGACGTCGCGTTTTTTGCGGGATGCGGGCCCCGGACCTCCCGACCCCCTCCACCGTGGACAATGCTTCGTCCCGGGTTGTTACGGATGATATCAACATTGCCCCAGCGACCGAAACCTGACTCCAGAGGCCCAAAACATGGAAACACTGGTCGCTTCGGCTTTCCATTTGCGAAGGAAGTCTGGGGAAGGCGACGAAGGAGGAAGGTAAAGATGACTAAGTGTCCTGTTGGGGTACTGGGCTGAAGGTGGACTTTACATGTGCACCTGCAGCTCCGC